AAATTATGTCAGGAAACCCAGAGGAAGGCCAAATACTGCTTTAAAATATCACAGTTAGGGAACCATGAGTATGGCTGAGAAAAAAAATCAAATTTGGGAGGTAAGCACTGCAAGCCTAATTCACCAGTGTATCTTTTGCTTTCTTTTTGAAAATCACAATGATAATGTCTTTTGCTTTATTTTATTTTTGCAATGCTGGGGATTGAACCAGGGCTTCATGTATGTGTTCTACCACTGATCTGCATCCTAGCCTTAGTGTGTCCTTTTTACTTAAGATTAATTTAAACCCATTTTTCTTAAGAATCATTCCATGTCTGCTGTTTACTTTACAATAAAAATGTTAAATATTTTATCTAATGTCTTGTATTCTTGATCCTCAGCTTCTCTTCTTCAGCTGTTCCTTACCCTATGAAATGATTTATTATAGGTGGCCACAAATAGCCGAGTTTACTTATTTGACATTCTCCTTCTGGGAAGTCGAGCTTTCAACAATGGACTTCAGATGATACTAGAAGACAAAAGAATTTTAAAGGCAAGTATATAAGCTGGTTCCACTGCTAGTAAGATTAGCAGCCAGGTTCTAATTATCCCATGTTCATCTTCTGATTCCTCAGGTTATCCATGATTGTCGATGGCTTTCTGATTGCCTCTTTCATCAATATGGGATTATGCTGAACAATGTCTTTGACACACAGGTACATAAAGGGAAACACTGGATTCAAACCAGTGCATGTAGGTTTTGAAAATCTTTTTTGTGTGTTCCTCACTTTTGCCCACTTCTCATGTTTGTACAAGGTGTGAGAACATTTGGTAAACTGTAAAATCACTGCAGAAAGCATAGTTAAAATTGTTTAGGAGTTAGGCATGATGGTACACACCTGTAAATCCCAAAGTTGGGGAGGCTGAGGCAGGAGGATTGCTACAAGTTTGAGGCCATCCTAGACAAGGCCATCCTGAACTACATATTTTCCTTATTTTGCTCCAGTACTTGGCAAATAATAAACAAGATTCATGCTCCAGCAGGACCTAGTGGTACACACTTGTAATTGCAACACTCAAGAGGCTGAGACAGAAGGATCCCTGTGAATTTGAAGCCAGCCTGGGCTACATAGTGAGTTCAAGGCCAGCTTGAACTACATAGTGAGA